CATGTACCAATGTATGCTCGCGTAAGCTTGTGTGAAAGTATTGCTAATCGACAACGATATCAACAGAAATACATTTCAGTGCCGACGCATCGTCAGTGAAAGGCCAACATAAGAAAAACACAAACTTGGTAATGAAAATGCTTTACCATTCATTCGTCACTCGTACAACAATAAAATATTTACATATGAAGGTGGGTCATTTCGTTCACAAGTATATGCTTATAACTATTTACTGTGGGCGCTGGTAAAGCTGAGAAGGTTCTACGTTTCTGCTCTCGGCAGCGGCAAGAGCGTCCTCCTCGGCAGCCTTTGCAATTTGGTCGAGGACGAACTGAGGGATCGGGTGGGGGAACGCGGGAGCCACGGGCAGGTGGGCGCCCTGCGGTTGGAAGCCGTTCTCATCGGCCACATACTGGATTTCGATCAGAGAACCATCGGGGGCGGTGTAGCTGGAATATTGGTAAGAGATATATAGAAGTGTGTATAGGTTTGTACAGGGCTGCTCTACAAGGGCATGGCCTAAATCATTTACATGGTATGAATAAATGTAAAAAAAAGAAGAAGAAAATCTTTAAAACACTGAATGAAGTTATATATATATGTATATATATACATACATATACATATATATATATATATATATATATATATATATATATATATATATATGTATATTTATATATATATATATATATATATATATATATATATATATATATATATATATATATAGAGAGAGAGAGAGAGAGAGAGAGAGAGAGAGACAGACAGACAGACAGAGACAGATATAGAGATAAAAACCCAGACAGACAGACCGAGAGATAAAAGAGCGAATACTTACGAATATCCTCCAGCAGCAACGACAGCACCTTCAGGGCCGTCAGGAGCTCCAGCCTCCGAGGCCCTGATGCCGTTGCCAGTCTCAATGTCGAAGCTGTACCTTCCTTCCTCGTGAACGCGGTCGTCCCTGAGGATGGGCACAATTTCAATGACCTGAACCGCATCCCTAGTGGAGGCGGAGGGGGCGACGTAGTTCGTGGAGGGGTCCGGAGCGGGGGCGTTGTACCCGTACTGTGGAGCGGCAAGGGCCACGGCGACAACGGAGGCGAAAATTACCTGTTGCAAATCATGAGGAGAAAATTACCCGTGGCAAATGATGGTGACATGGAATTATATATAAACCTCACTAGTCGTTATCTCTTTGGTTCACATCTCCTTGGACGATTGCAAGGAAAAAGAAAAGAAAACAAAACGATATATATATATATATATATATATATATATATATATATATATTCGTTATAACTGAAACGAATATCGTCATGGTATTTCACATCCCTTTTCTCAAGCCGTACTAGTTATCTTAAATTAATCTCTACCGTGGTTAATAACCTCTACACTATATTTTATGAAAAGTGAAAGGGGACTAGACCAGAGGGCAAGTCTCCGGCGTAGATAACTATAGCTCAACACAAAGTACTTTCAGCCACAGCCACAGTAAAGTCCCTTGGAAAGGTGCACTTACAAACTTCATGCTGATCGGTTTGGTTCGAACTGATGCCACAACCGAGATGCTGGGTACCTTATATACCGAGGGAAAGGCGGTGGTACAGGAAACAAAAAAGTCCCTCTCCCTTCACCTCGAATTTAAGGGTTTATATTGTTGCTTTTCATTCCCATAAAAGGGGACTTTCCTTTTCTTTTCTTTTTATTATCTTTTTTATTTTTATCGTATGATTCTAATTACTCTCTTCAGTATGGTAACCGGAGTAATTTTGCTTCTAAAATCTGTGATGAATTGAAACATTTTGACTAGGCTACAGAAATGGAATCTTCCCAGGTCGAAATGTACGATCTCTAAATACCATGATTACAATATATCTATTACTTTTACTTCCCGTGCCACGTTTTATCATGATTTTTTTTCACTCCATTCACCTTTATTCATCCTCCTAATCATCCTCTCTCTTTTTGTCGTTCAGTTGTATCTCATTTCTTCATCAGATTTTTAAAATCATTATTATTAGTTCAATGGTTTCATTAGTTCACTGCTCCATAAGTAAAAAAAAAAAAATGTATATATATATATGTATATATATATATATATATATATATATATATATATATATATATATATATATGTATATAAACCGTCCATCAAATGCTGCTACACCCAAACGCAGAAAAGCATATAGTTGTATGTATGCATGCATATATATATATATATATATATATATATATATATATATATATATATATATATGTATATATATGTATATATATATATATATATATATATATATATATATATATACATCATATATATATATACATATATATATGTATATACATACATATAATATATTATATAATATATATTATATATATATATATATATATATGTATATATATATATATATATATATATATATATATATATATATATATTCGTAAATGTATTTACATGCATACATATATGTATATACATATACGAATAAAGACATACGTATTTACATATGCACACACACACGCACATACACGCTCACACACACACACACATATATATATATATATATATATATGTACACACATATATATATATGTGTGTGTGTGTATATATGTATGTATATTATAAATATACATATATACATATGCAGTAAGAATGAATGCATGCATGTATATGCCTATATCTATATATATTTGTCTCTCTTTTTCTTTATATATATATATATTATATATTATATATATGCGCGCGCGCGCGTGTGTGTGTGTTTGTGCGTGTATACATATATATATGCACACACACACACACACAAAACAACAAAAAAAACACACAAAACACACGCACGCATATATATATATATTCAATATATATTCTCTTCGCTGCAGGACAAACCCCCCCTTTGATTCTTTTATTGTTTATCACCTCATTTCCTAGATGCATTGGGTGGTAGTTTGACGTCATCTCAGCTATTGTTCTGGCGAGATGCCTCGGCGGAGCAATGAGTTGGCACTACAGCTTGTGCAGACTAGACTTCCTCCCTAGCATCAGGCAAGGTCCAGTTCAGGATCTTGAGCACTGGACCTGTGGGGCGAGCGTGTGTACGTTTGTAGGTGTGCGTCCGTACTGTCTATGCGGTGTATATTTGTATGTTTAGAAATATGTGTGTAGGAGGGTGTGAGTGACAAAGGGAGAGAGTGAGGAAGACGAGAATGGGGGAGGGAATGAGGGAGAGAGGAAGAAAGGGAGAGGAGAGAGAGAAAAATAAAGAGAGAGAGTGTGTGTGTGTATTATACAAATGTATTCATATGCACGTGTCTGTGCGGATATATATTGATAAAAAAGGTAATGAGAAGAATGGCAAGATAAAGGTTTGCGTTCTTTACTAATAGCAAGCTCTATACATTCAATAAATTATGTCTACATAATAGGTTGTTCTATCTGTGATCATCTATCATTTTCGGTGTCTACTGTGGCCTCTGGTAGAGCTGGGAAGGCGCGTCTCTGGTCGAAGCGGCGGCAAGAGCGTCTTCCTCAGCTGCCTTTTCGATCTGCCTGAGCACGAACTCGGGAATCTCATGAGGGAATTCGGGAGCCACTGGCAGGTGGTCACCCTCGGGCTGGAAGCCGTCCTCGTTGGCGACGTATGTGAGCTTGATCAGGCTACCGTCGGGAGCAGTGTAACTGGGAAGGAGAGCATGGAATTTGTAAGCTAAATCTGTCTACCCATACTAAGCTTCATACATGACTGTAGTGCAGAATTGATTTACTGTTATAATGCCTGTATTAAGTGACTGAAGCTAGCAGTACACATTCGCCATATCCCGAATGTTAATATGAGCACTGATTTAGTTCATACATTTTCTTATAATGGTAGGGCTCACCTCTACCATCACCATCACTGTTTAATAATTATTGATCACTATTAATAATTAAAACAAAATTTACAATATAACGGACAACGATTGTGATAATGATGAGGATAGTAACAAAAAGATAGATAAATGATACAGAGCATATGTGTATGCAAACACATGTACATAAATCATACAGTACTCACGAGAATTGTCCGGAGGCAACGATGGCGCCCTCAGGTCCGTCAGGTGAGCCAGACTCCGCGACGGTAATGCCGTCGCCAGTCTCGATATCGTAGTTGTACCTGCCGTCCTCCTCTTGGACTCGGTCGTCCCTCAGGATGGGCACGAAATCAGCTGCCTCAAGTCCGCCCCTTGTGGAGGGGTCCGGAAGAGAGTAGCCAGTCTCAGGGGCCGCGGCGGCCACAACAGTAAGGGCGATGAGAATTGCCTGTGGAAAAGCAAGAATTTAAGACAATGTGAATGTATACGAAGTACCACCTTGAGATGCAAGCGAATCCTTTAGATGTATTTGCAAGTGGGTTACGTAGCATATATGGCATTATTATAGTTCATAATAAATTTAGGGAGCCAGACACCTACAAACTTCATGATGATCAAAGGAGCAGTGAACTGATAATCCAGTCATGGAGCTGAGATCCTTATATACCGAGGGAAAAGCTGCCCTTGAATAGTCTCACCTTTGCCTTCACCTCGTAAGATGCTGCTCTTCATAGGCACGTTCTGTGAATCTTCCAGTTTTCCTTTAAGAAATTTCAAACAAGGTTCTCAAAGTGTAATAAGAGAGCTAATAAAAGTAAATAGGTGGCAGGCTTGCACATTTTGCTTGGTCAAAATGTTTGGTTATTCAGCCTTTTGAAATATGTGTGATTGTTAATTATATTATAAACACACACACGCAAATACTCATACACACACAGACACACGTGTGTATGTATATGTGCATATATATATTATATATACATATATATGTATTTATAAATACATGTATATATACATACATATATATACATTTACATATATATGTATATGTTAACATATATTACATTATATATAACTTAATGTTTTCTAATATTCCTTTCATATTTATGGCAAATTTATTAAATGAAAACAGAAATACACTATTTAAATCATAAAAGAGCAAACAAACATAGAAAATGGAGAAAAGGAATGGTCAACTTGTGATTTCCAGCCTACTCCCGGCCTGGGTGTGATCAAAGGTATCACACCAACCAAAGAGAATTCACACATCGTGTTTCAAATAACAATCAAGTATGCAGAAGAGAACACACCAGACATAAAGCAAGATAACATTAATATCATAATACCCTTTAGCTACACGGTCTTGAATCATGTCTACAACTGATACACTCCCTCACGACGATGTAGCCAGCCTCCTACATTCAATTGTCCAAAAATCAGATCTTAATTTTGATCCAACAATTTTTACACCAGCATGTTTGAAAGGTGTTTGTTCATCAATAAATGAACCTAATTTACTAAGTACAAAACCCTTGGGAAACATTTTTCCACTTGACAAGACTATAATATTCTCTCTGTGTACAGTAAATCAATTCAACTTGTTTCAACTTATTTGTAGAAGGATTGCCTTTAAATATTTCATCCTCATTTTTCATTTGCCTACAATTATGGATATATCATATTGCATAAGCCAAAGTCCTTTCGTTCAGTATCAAATATAACGGGTATATTTTACACTGTTACACAAACAGATATAACACTCTCAGCACAACCACTTTCCCTTTCTTTAGTGAAAAGTTCGACAGGATCCTCAACCTTACATTCTTATTCTAGCAACATTTTAGTATCCTGAAGCCAAACAGAATCATCCACTGTTTTAGGGGTGCTTCCCTCGATTCCGATGCTACCAGTGATACTTTATAGTTTCCATCGTCAGTTAGGGTTCTGATATACACACAACTCCCATTTCCCTTTTCAGATGCATCTCCAAAGCCATGAAGATCTATCTTATTCAGACTCTTTCAAGGCTTTCATACACATTAACATTTGTTAATATCAAACAGGCATAAGCTTTGAATACTTATCACCCATTTTCCAATTTAATCTTCAATTCATTAGGTAGTGTTTGATCCCAATCTAGGCCAAGCCTCAATATTTCCTGAAACAATTTTTTGCATACACCACGAATGGACTCATCAAACCAGGAAGATCAAAAAGCTTAGATATCATACTCGGTACATCCCTTTTTTGCACACGCCATATTACAGTTCGTTTCTATATCTACGCCTTCAAATGAAAATGTACCAGATAAACCATGCCACTTTAGTCCCAGTGCAGAATTTGTCCTCTCATTCAAAGTTAAATACCTGGTCTCATCAAATATTGAGGTAATTAATTTACCGTTAGACACAAGCTTAGTTAAATTCATATTTGTAGCACACAAAATATCATGAACCTCCTTAATTTTATCTGTGGCATCTACTGTAGTATCTGCGTCACTTAGCTCATTATCTACATACACATCATTCAATACCTCTTCAAAAAAAATACTAACCGGATATTGTTTCAAGTGATATCTTGCCGTGGCATTCAACAAAAAGTGACTCACAGCGTTACCATAGAGAACACTTTTAAAGCGCATATACCGCACCTCATCATTTTTACTCAGCTGCAAAAACCTGTGTACATCCCTGTCTTCCTGCAACAGACTTATCTGAATAAAAAACACTGTAAGCAGAAACAGCAAAAGGCCAGCACCTAAACCTTAATAAAATCTCAACCAGGTCAGGGTTAAGTGAGGAGCCAGTATGCAAACAATAATTCAGAGAAATCCCGTTACGTCTTTTAGCTGAAGTATTAAAGTCAGGCCGTATTTTAGCACTAGTCCTTAATACCCGTATTACTGGATGGCGAGGCATATGATAAGGATTATTACCATCTATTTGAAGGAACTTCTATGATTCCCTCCTTTTCATAATTATCAATAACATTATAATATGAATTTTCAGTGTTATTTTACAATTTAGTTTTGCATGCAACCTCTCAAATCTTTTGAGTGCAAGTTTCTTATTATGCAACAGCCTGCATTTGACGGTTTCAGGGAAGACATACCTCATATCTACCATTAACAGACCTTATAATCTCTCCTCCATGCATTTCTTTAGGAGCAATACTAACGTTTCCCAAGTTCCAAAACCTATTTGATAATCTGATTCTCTAGACATACACGCCAACTGTGGCAATGTAAAAGCGTACATGGGAGTAACGGAACTCTCTTTACCTGTGGTATATTCTTAAAGCACTCACCCAAAATGGAGAACGATGAGCTACAACGCACTCCATTTTTTTTTTAATTCCCTGTAATAGTCGAGCCAAATCAGTATGTAATTTACCATCAACTCATTACCATCACTTTCATGGTTACCAGCCAAGATCAAATAAGAAAATTTACTAAACATGGTATCAGGAATCTGTGTATATACACACACACACACATATATATGTATGTGTGTGTATGTATATATATACACATATGCATATATATATATATAAGTATACATACAAACAAATATGTAACTATATATTTATATAGAGCTATACAGAATATATAACTTTATATATATGTATACATACACTGTATATATGTGTGTGTATGTATGCACATGTTTGTGTATTTACAGATAATCATATATATATATATACATATATATATGTATATATATATATATATATGTATGTATATATATTTATACTCACACATATATATATATATACTACACACACACACACACACACACATATATATTATACGTATATGAAATAAATAAATATATATATCATATATAAACACATTCATATATTAACAAATAATAAAATATATATAAATATTCATATATATATACACATATATATGTATGTGTATATATATATACACATTTACACACAGACACACGTGTGTATGTACACATACACACACATATATATGTGTGTGTAAATACATAAACATATGTATGTGTGAGTGTTTATGTGTGTATGGTTATATATATATATACACATATATATGTATGTGTATATATATACACATTTACACACAAACACACGTGTGTATGTACACATACACACACATATATATGTGTGTGTATGTGTGTGTAAATACATAAACATATGTATGTGTGAGTGTTTATGTGTGTATGGTTATATATATATATGTGTGTGTGTGTGTGTGTGTATGGATATATATATATGCATATATATATATCTGTATATATATGAATGAATATGTTTATCTATTTATTCATACATAAATGCGTGTGCGACGTGTGAAACAAGCAGAATAAAAGAAAGGATGGAATCAAGCGTGAGGTAAAAGTCTGCATTATTTATTATAATCTACCTCTCAGTCGCGCATCATTCATGCTACTAATAAATTATATATACAGAAAAGAAAGCTGTTCTATCCGGGAGTTTTTTTCTTTCCTTCTCAATAACATCTACTGTGGTCTCTGGTAGAGCTGGGAAGGCGCGTCTCTGGTCGAAGCGGCGGCAAGAGCGTCTTCCTCAGCTGCCTTTTCGATCTGCCTGAGCACGAACTCAGGAATCTCATGAGGGAATTCGGGAGCCACTGGCAGGTGGTCACCCTCGGGTTGGAAGCCGTCCTCGTTGGCGACGTATGTGACCTCGATCAGGCTACCGTCGGGTGCAGTGTACCTGGGAAGGAAAGCTCCTGCTTGTAGTTTGGAGGCCACATTTTAAATTCAGCGGCACATACACATATGCAAATATACATATACTAAGAATAGCATTATTACTCATGATAATGATTAAAAGAAATATGCTGACAATTGTGATGATGGCAATAGAAACACTGATGATGATGAATACATGATGCATGTACGCACACACACATACACAGACACATGTTCCCACACACACCTACTAAAGTTACTATACTCACGAGTACTTTCCAGAGGCAACGATGGCGCCCTCAGGGCCGTCAGGTGAGCCAGACTCCGAGGCGGTGATGCCGTCGCCGGTCTCGATGTCGAAGTTGTACCTTCCGTCGTCCTCTTGGACTCGGTCGTCCCTCAGGATGGGCACGAAATCAGCTACCTCAAGTACGCCCCTTGTGGAGGGGTCCGGAAGAGAATAGCCAGTCTCAGGGGCCGCGGCGGCCACAGCAGTGAGGGCGACGAGAATCGTCTGTGAGGAAAACAGAGACAGGATGAGGTGGCTGTAACTATAAAGTAGTGTTTGGGAATTCTAGTGACTCTTTTCGATGCACTTCTACATGAGATACGAATGCTTATTGTATATATGTGTGTATGTGTATAATATATATATATATATATATATATATATATATGTATGTGTGTGAATGTATTTGTGTACATATATATACATATATATGCATATATATATATATATATATACATATATATGCATATACATATATATATGTATATATGAATGTATGTATGTGTGTAAATGTATATGTCTACATATATATACATATACATATATATGCATATATATATACGTATACATATATATGCATATATATATGCATATACATATATGTATGCATATATATATATATATGTATATATATCTATGTATATGTGTATGTATATGTACATATATGATACTTTTTACAGACGTGATTATTTTGTCTAGATTATCATGGGCCACAATAACCTCAGAGAGTCAAACACCTACAAACTTCATGATGATCAGAGTAGCGGTGAACTGATGATCCGGTCATGAAGCGCGGTCCTTTTATACCGAGGGAAAAGCCGCCCTTGAATAGTCTCACCTTCGCCTTCACCTCACAAGATGCTGCTCTTCATAGACGTGTTCTGTGAATCTTCCAATTTACTTTAAGAAATGAGAAATTCAGACAACATTCTCCATGTGACGTAAGGGGAAGGTTCTTCAAATCAAACGAGATTATGGGTGTAAATACTTCTTAAAGTTAGGACGTTTGCTTATTTAGTCTCTTGGAATATTTATATATGATATATGTATACACTCTTTATCACACACAGACATATACACACGCGCGCGCGCACATATGTATATGTGTATATATACATAAATATGTCATTGCTTGTGTGTGTGTTTGTGTATCTTTATGTACACACAC